TGTTCCAGTGCTCTATATTTCTATTCTTAAACTAGCAACATATTATCTTGATATGGGAGAGTGCAGGCTTTTTCTAATTTTTCCAGTTTTCTATTGCTTTAATTCCCATTTTAGTTTTTTAATTCACTTCTTTTTACTTTGGTTTTGTTTGCTTTTCTTTATCTAGATTCATCATGTAAAACTTTATATCGTTGCTCTTAGATAATTCTTTTTTGTTTTACTAATATAAGCATTAAAAGCTACCTATGGGGACTAAAGTTGTGGCTCGTTGGTAGAGCACTTGCCTGGCATGTGTGAGGCCCTGGGTTCAATCCCTCAGCACCACACATAAATAAATAAAAGATCCTTGACAACTAAAAAAAATATTTAAAAAAAAACTTCCTATGTGTCAGGTGCAGTGGCATAGGCTTGTAATCCAGCAGCTCGAAATGTTGAGGCAGGAGGATCACAAGTTCAAAGCTAGTCTCAGCAAAACCAAGGCGTTAAGCAACTCAGTGAAACCCTATCTCTAAATAAAATAAAAAATAGGGCTGGGGATGTGGCTCAGTGGTTGAGTGCCCCTGAATTTAATATCGGTACCCTCTCCCCCCAAAAACTACCTATGTACCTCCAAGCACTGCTTTAACTATAAAATTTCGTTTTTAATCTATACTATCACTCAAGTTAAAAATATTTATAAACTGCTTTTGATTTTACCTCTGGATCATGAATTATTTACAAGTATGCTATTTAATTTCCAAATATTTAGTGTTTTCTTATATATTTTGTAGTTACTGATTTTTAATTTACTCCTATGACTTGAGGATATAGTATTATGATTTCTATCTACTCTACTTATTAAACATTGACCTTTTCCTCACTATAAAATTCCCTGCTTATTTTTGGTAAAATTCTTTATTTTAAGTTCAACTATATTTAATATTAATATAGCCCTTTTAGCTTTTGTATGTTTACTGGTTAAATGAACTATTTTTCATCATTTTGTTTCAACCTCTTTATTTCTTTAAACTCTCTTGTAGACAATATAGTCTTTATATTATTCTGATTAGCTCTGCCTTTTGACTGTAGTGATTAGTTCAGTAACAATTTAATTATTGACAAAGATGAACTTAGTTCTACCATTTTATTATTTATATCTCTCCTCTGTGGTTTTTGTTCCTATGTTTCCCTTTCCCAATTTCCTTCAGACTACATTAACATTTCTTACAGTCTCTTTTTAAATTTATGTACTGTCTTTTAGCTATGAATCTTTGTTATTTTTTTCTTTATTAATTTTTCTAAGAACTAAAATGAAAACCTGCGGTAGCCTTAATATGAGATTCCTTCTCACTAGGATTCTTGCCATTAAGATGGTTTAAAGGTAAAGATAAAACCCACAGCATTCTTAAGAAACCATGGTCTAAAGACAAAACCTAGTATATATATTTAAAATCTTTAGATTTGATTTCAGAAAAATCCAGAGTAATGCCTCAGAGAACCAAACTGAAGGCTATTAAGAAGCTAAAGGATCTTGTGCCTCAGCAGTTTCAGTAGAAGTCCCCCCAAAAAAGATCTTATAAGAAACAAATAAAGGACACAGAGACTAACCCACAAAGCTACAACTATCTTATATTTGATAAAGGAGCTAAAAGCATGTAATGGAGGAAGGATAGCATCTTCAACAAATGGTATTGGGAAAACTGGAAATCCATATGCAAAAAAATGAAACTGAATCCCTTCCTCTCGCCATGCACAAAAGTTAACTCAAAGTGGATCAAGGAGCTAGATATCAAATCAGAGACTCTGCGTCTGATAGAATAAAAAGTTAGCTCTGATCTACAAATTGTGGGGTCGGGCTCTAAATTCCTTAATAGTACACCCATAGCCCAAGAGTTAATAACAAGAATCAACAAATGGGACTTACTTAAGCTGAAAAGTTTTTTCTCAGCAAGAGAAACAATAAGAGAGGTAAATAGGGAGCCTACATCATGGGAACAGATTTTTACTCCTCACACTTCAGATAGAGCCCTAATATCCAGAGTATACAAAGAACTCAAAAAATTAGACAATAAGAAAACAAATAACCCAATCAACAAATGGGCCAAGGACCTGAACAGACACTTCTCAGAGGAGGACATACAATCAATCAACAAGTACATGAAAAAATGCTCACTATCTCTGTCAGAGAAATGTAAATCAAAACCACCCTAAGATACCATCTCACTCCAGTAAGATGGGCAGCCATTATGAAGTCAAACAACAACAAGACAACAAGTGCTGGCGAGGATGTGGGGAAAAGGGTACTCTTGTACATTGCTGGTGGGACTGCAAATTGGTGTGGCCAATTTGGAAAGAAGTATGGAGATTCCTGGGAAAGCTGGGAATGGAACCACCATTTGACCCAGCTATTGCCCTTCTTGGACTATTCCCTGAAGACCTTAAAAGAGAGTACTACAGGGATACTGCCACATGGATGTTCATAGCAGCACAATTTACAATTGCTAGACTGTGGAAGGAACCAACTCAGATGCCCTTCAATGGATAAAAAAAAAAATGTGGCAGTTATACACCATGGAGTATTACGCAGCACTAAAAAATGACAAAATCATGGAATTTGCAGGGAAATGGATGGCACTAGAGCAGATTATGCTTAGTGAAGCTAGCCAATCCCTAAAAAACAAATACCAAATGTCTTCTTTGATATAATGAGAGCAACTAAGAACACAGCAGGGAGGAAGAGCAGGAAGAAAAGATTAATATTAAACAGAGACATGAGGTGGGAGGGAAAGTGAGAGAAAAGGGAAATTGCATGGAAATGAAGGGAGACCCTCATTGTTATACAACATTACATATAAGAGGTTGTGAGGGGAATGGGAAAATAAACAAGGAGAGAAATGAATTACAGTAGATGAGGTAGAGAGAAAAGATGGGAGGGGAGGGGAGGGGGGATAGTAGAGGATAGGAAAGATAGCAGAATACAACAGTTACTAATAGGGCATTATGTAAAAATGTGGATGTGTAACCGATGTGATTCTACAATCTGTATTTGGGGTAAAAATGGGAGTTCATAACCCACTTGAATCTAATGTATGAAATATAAATATGTCAAGAACTTTGTAATGTTTTGAACAACCAATAAAAAAAAGAAAAAAAAAGAAACAAATTTGTAATTACGGGTTTTTCCTAATGGAGCCAACATCAGGAAGATTTATATGAGACTCACCAAGTTTTTAAGAGAATTATATTGTCATAAACATAGTAAGTTTGAAATGAAATGGACAGAGACAGTAACACTGAAAAAGGAGCTTTTGAATACCCAATCTTCTACAGTACAGAAGCTAAGCAAAGTAGCACCTACAAGTACAAGTTATCTTTTATAAAAAAGAAAAAGGAAAGGAAAGGAAGAAAGAACGAATAAAAGAATGAAAAGAAAAGGAATGGTGCAGGGAATGGAAGCAAGAGCACAGTGGGTGGAGCTAAGAGTAATGGATAATCATTCCCAGGCAGGACATTAATTGAATTATGATTAAGGAACTTGCATTAATTTTGTAATTGGATTTCAGAATTGCTATGGAGCAACACACCTATGATTTTCCTGTTTTTCCCCTTTCTAAACAGGAGTGTCTCTCGCAATTATCCTTATCTCTCTCACCACTGGGTATTTGACATGTGAGGGAATAACTATCTTCTCTACTTTTAGGTCTTTAGTCAAGAAAAATTTAAATAAGGAATGATAATCAAGGTATCTCATCTGCAACTGGATCTGATTTAAATGAAGAGATAGTGGACTTTAATGTTACAATAGAATCTCTGAAGTTTGGAAACTGTGGCTTATTTTTTACTTTTCCCATTTCTGTCTACATTAATCAATTACAAAGTTCTGTATTCTTCCTAAATATCCCTTTAACCCATTAAGTCCCAAGTTTTCAATTTTGCAAATATTTCAACAAAATTGACACAGGTATATTAAAATATATTGAAAATAATAATTTAGAGCTTATATATTAATCAATAGTATAATTAGTATAATCAGATTCTTATTGTAAAACTATGTATTATATAGTTACATAGTATATATACTATATTTAAATTTTTATAGGTAATTTATATCTGAGATGATAGAACAAAAATGGATTAATTCTCTCCCTCTTCTCTTTGGCAACCACTTTAATATCTTAATTTAATTGCAATTACTTGCATAATTGTTTTCCTGAAAGGCAACTCTCCCCAACCTACTGTGTAACCCTACTTCCTGTATAAAACATTTGGTAAAATAAGAATATCAGCATCAGTCCTAAACCTAAAATAGCTTCCATCACATTGTGCTAAAATATTTGGCTAAATATTTTGTTTTTCCACTTTTAAATTTTATGTCCCCAGGACTTAGATTAGTGTCTATTACATAACAGGTAGTTGATAGTTATTGATAGTGAATGACTGACCAAACTCTAATGTCACATGTACTTCTAAAGAATTTAATACTGGGGGCTCAGAGGCAGAGCATTTGCCTAGCATGAGTGAGGCCCTGGGTTTGATCCTCAGAACCACATAAAATAAATAAAATAAAGGTATTGTGTCCAACAACAACTGAAAAATAAATACTTTTAAAAAAGAATTTAATACTTCTCACAATTAAAAAAACTAATATTCACAGCCAGGTACAGTGGTAGCAATCCCAGCAACTCTGGATGCTGAAGCACGAGAACCACAAGTTTGAGGCCAGTTTCAGAATTTGTGAAGCACTCAGCAACTTAGTGAGACCCCATCTCAAAATGAAAAAATATTTCTAAGAAGGATTATGGATATAGCTCAGTGATAAAGCACCCTTAGGTTCTATCCCCAATAACAAAAAGAAAAAAGAAATACATTCATTAGGACAATTAAGATAAAAATACAAGTAAGTAACTATATGATAACCTGATTTTATTATGAAAAGACCAAAATTTCTAAAAAATTCATTCATTCAAAATAAGCTATTTTAAATAATGCCAGAAAAATAAATCAATCGTATGGACTCATACCCCATTTCAAAACGTTTGCCTGGTTTTCTAAGTCAGATATTTCAATCTTGACATTTTCTTTCATCAGAAGCTCTCTTTTCTTTGTTATTTCATACTCATTATTGAAGTCTGTAATTTCCTTAATAAATTTTTCTTCCTCCTCTGTCACTCTTTTCTTTGTAACCTCCTGAAATACAGAAATAAAAGATCAAATATGGTTTTGGTTGCAATATTTTTCTTTAATGATTTAAAATACAATCATCTAAACTTATTAACAACAAAACTATAAGAATTATAATTTCTGGTATTACTATAAATGGCTTTACTTCATTAGTAATACTGTTTAAAAAACTGAAACTATTAAACAATGACAACAAACTAACTTCAGATGAAAGATTTATCCTTAAGTAGAAATTCTACCATTCATCATTATACCAATGTTTATTTATGAATTAAACTTATCATCACACATGCTATTTTATCACTACAATACAAAATTGGGTGGCAAAATAATGACTAAACTTGAAAATTAAAAATCTATACTCAAAGGAATTACTGCTTACAGAAAATAAAAAGAAGAAAAGACAAAAAAATAGATAAGAACATCCAAAGAAACTTTTGTTTTGTTTTGTTTTTGTTTTTGTTTTTTGTACCAGGGATTGAAACCAAGGGTGCTGAACCACTAAGCCACATCCCCAATTCTTTTTATTTTTTTACTTTGAAACAGAGTCTCACTTGCTTAGGGCCTCACTAAGTTGCTGAGACTGGCTTTGAACTTGGAGATTCTGCTGCCTCACTCTACAAACTACTGAGATTATAGCCAGGCACCATGGTATCTGGCCAAGGAAACTTTTAAAAATGTAGATTGATGAAAGCAAAATTACATATTAATTTCAAAAGCAGCTCTAAATAACATTTTACACATTGTAAGGAAATAGGAATTACCAAAACTTTAGACAACACAAAAACTTAAACTTTGTGACAATGTTAGAATCTAAACATTTTGGGATTTTATTTTCTATTTTCTCTTAAGAGATGTCAAATAATTATGGGCCATATTCAGAATCTGGACTTGTTCAAAACCATCACATCATTTGGTTCTGACTTTTGACCTGTACTTTTAATATCTTTAAATGTATTTTCTTTAAAATGTCAACTAATCACAAGTCACATCTCCAAGCATCCTGGCATTCAAAACTACTTTTCAGTTTGTTGCCTCAGACTTAAGATAAAAAGATAAAAATACCCATCCTTTCACTCACATCTATAAATGTGCCTAAGAATGAACACTTCTACCTTTCAAAAGCATTAAAACCAAGGTCTCAAAGCCTGAGCAATTCAAATCAGTTGTACTCTTTCCTTTAGGCTTATTACAATTGCAAATAATTTCTGTTACATCCCTGCCAATAGATCTCTTTCAAGCTATATTACTCTACCAATTGATTTTAAATAGCACTTAATACTTTTAACTTATCTGAATAGTACTTTTTACTTATCTAAATAGTACTATCTGCCAATATGCATATGGGTAATTTTCTAAAAGTACACCTAAGTATATGTAAATACTTCTTGACAAGGTTATTGAAACAGATTTTTCTAAGTGGTTGGAGACTTACAAAGGTTTGGAGAAGCACACTCCTTTGGTTTGTGATTTCATTGCACTGTCTTTCTAAAGCATTTTCATGAGTTTTCAAAAGCTGAAAGAGGAAGGATTTTTCAGAAAACTGCTGAACCTTCAAAAGTACAGAAATCAGAATGAAAGAATTAGATTTTTAGGGTATTTATGTTAATAGAACAGATACACACAGTGTAAAACATTTTCTGTATTAATCTTTGCAAAATAAAATTCACATTAAACATCTTACTATACATATGCTATCTTATAAGTACTACATTAATTATAAGTTTATAATCATGTCTCCCAATAAGAACATTAACTTCTCAAGGGCAGGGAATGTGTTTTCTTTTTCCTCTTCATACCTAGCACAGTTCTAAGATTAAGTACTAAAGCTTTTGACTATACACAATGAAATTTGACTTCAAGACATCTTGTTTTAAAGAATAAGTTTCTATTCTTACAACTAATAATGGATGGAATAAATTATTTATACAACAGATAAACTTTATAAAACCCAGGCAAAACCCCAATCCTATGACTATAATTACATAAAATAAAACATAAACCTGTTAAATTCCTCAGATTTTGAGAACTCATTTTAACTTTTATTGGCAAAGTTTTCAACAGCATTTTTATTTTCAGAGCCTACAACAGTTGATTAGCAATGCTGCTAAGCTGGTACAATCTGAAAAGCATCCCTTTAGGTATTCAATCTACAGATTTTCCCTTCTCCTTTTTCCTTCCCATTCCCTGTTTCCCATAGGAACTCATTTTTTAATTTAGTACCTCATTTGGTTCTAAGCAGAAAAAGATACATTAAACATTAATATTAGATATATAACTATTATTTTATTTAGACTTTTAAAAGTGGCATCTCCTGAGACAAATATTGAGATGAAAATCAGGGAGTTTTGATATGTAAAAGCTAAAAAAGATGCTGGACTAAAAATAGTTTTTCTACAGTGTTCAATATTGGCCCTCATAAGAAAGCATCACTTTGGATGGGCTGTTCCTATCTCTACAGAGAAAAGAAAAAGGATATAAATTCAACTTAAATTGCAGAAAGCAAGATTTATGTTAGTTATAAGAACTTTCTCAAGGTGAGAGGCAGGTTGTGAAACCTGTGTCCCAGAAGACATTGAATAGTAAAGAATCTAGGAATAGTCTAGTCCAGAGGCAAAGAGTTGGCTGAAAAGACATTTTGAAATATTATGGCTAAAAGGTTTAGAAATATCAGCATTTTTTTAAAAAGTGGCTGAAATAAAATAGAAAATATGATCTTACATTTATATTAGATCACAGCACATCTGCCTACACCTACAGTACATGGTATCATCCTGATCAACCCTATTTTAAGAAAGACATCGGATAGAAAGATTAGACAGAAACACTATACATGAACAAAGGAATTAAGGTAATACTCTAAAAATTGGGGGAAAAAGAATGAAGTATTTTACCTAAGACAAAAATTAGAAAACACTAAATCTATCAAATTATATAGAAATTGAAAGCAAGGACAAACAAGAAGACACACACACAATTTATATACGATATCTCAGGAGATGGCATATTTTTAAAGTTGGAATGAACTGTACATGTGTATGTGTGTGTGTATATATATTACTACATATGTATGTTATATACATGAATATATAGTAACTATGATTGCCCAAAAAAATGCTTCAGAGACCAAATACTGGCCTACAGACAAAATATGGTTTAATCTACTGAGGTATTTGAAGAACTATGCCTTTCAAAATTAATATTCTTGAATTCTAATTCTGTTGCTGACAGATGTTATAAAAGACCTGTCAAAATTTAAAAACGAAGAAAATACTACAAATCAAATGAGTATATTTTAAATGAAACTTAAGCAAACCTATGATTCAAATTCAAAAACACTTTGTTACAAGCTCATAAATTAAAAAGCTTTGTTTCAGCAATCAACACTAAGAGCTAAAAATTTCCACTGCACTCCTGTCCTTTCTTAAAAGGGAAGAATATCAAACAATAAAGTTATATGACATATTGGCATTTAACTGTACTATTTTACCATAACCTGAAACATGAAACCTCTATACCAAAAACTAAAAAAGTAGCAGCTATTCAAAAGATTAATAAAAATGGTATAACTTTCCTCTTCTCTAAAATTTTGTTAATTATCCATTTTGAAGACGTGTCTGCTTCTTTGGATTTATTTTTACTATTAATCTTTCTTCATTTTGACTTTCTATATTTGACTTTACCTTTTACTTCTACATTTTTGACTCTCAATCAAGACCTAAAGAGTCAATAACTAGAAGTTACAGTAATAATTTTAAAATATATCATGATCAAAACATTTAATACAAAAATATCTTGGCAAGTATGGAAAAAAGTATAGCATAAAATAAAATGACAAGAGTTTGCAAAGATGAAGTCATTAGGAGCAAGTACCACAAATGCCTCCCATTTACTGATTCACACAGTGAGGACATCAGTAGTTTAAGGTGATAGAAGTTAGACAAGGTCTAATACTATTAGTATAGGGTCTTCACATTTTAGTAGAACTAAAGGGACAAAAACATTTGTATCTTTTCCATTCCTCTTTGACAAGTTATTAACTCTTCGTAAATAAAATAGCTTTTCATAGTCACCTATTTGTTAAATGTTTGATTTTATTCCTTTTTTTTCTTTCTGTTAACCCAACTAACTTCTTATTTTTCTCTGTCCTGTGTTTAAAAACTAGACCTACCAATGTGTACAATTTAATGTAAAAATATAACCCTGAATATACTGATGAGATCAAGATAAGCTCATTTCACAGAATATCCTCAGAAACCTCTCCTTATGACCTGGATGGGGAGGATCAGTAAAGAAGAGATAGGAAATTGTACTACAGAAAATAATTCTAAACATATTTCTCTGAATCAGGTTTGAATTGAAGTATTATCATGCTCATGGTAAACGAACTATTTCTTTTATGGTATGTAGAAACTTAAGAAACTATTAATCCTATTTCCTAAGTTACCCAAAGATCCCAAGAGGCTATAAGCTATATAAATAGTGGAAAGCTCCTAATGGCAAGAATACAAATTTCTCTCATCTCCCTCTGTCCTCTGACTAGAAATGAAGAGGAAATATTGGCATTCAGTCTTAAAGTTGCATTCCAGAATCAAATGGCCAAGCTTTGTCAGAAAACATTGCTGTTTTAGAAAAGTTTAATTTATAGCAGTGCCAACTCTCTGGTCAATTCTGCTTCTCTAAGCAATATTTTTCCTTTACCTGTTTTATTCCTCTTGGGAATCTGATTTTTAAACAAAGCTTATAGTTTTCCCAGTGAGCTGACTTATCTGGTCAAGGAGGTCAGTTTTCAACAAAGCCATGATTCGTGACTCTTCACTACTCCTTCAGTCTGGGTGCCTTGAGGTGTTTTTCTAACAGAAGAACTTGAAAACTGAAAATGACTGAGGATTTTAAATGAATGTTTGGGTCTAAGTAAGCAAAAATATAGGGCTACTCTTTGTTGTTTATTGTGGCTGTTGTTAAAAATAATCTCAGCCTTGAGGAATTGACATTTTGCTGATTAAATGCTTTTCCCAATAGCATAACTACTTTAAATAAGAAAACACAAAAGGGGAGGTGTGGATTTTACATTCTTAAAATCATAACACTAAGGAAAAGAAATGTGGTTGTTACAACCATGATAAAAGGCATTTTAAACATTAGGGTACATCAATGAATATCATATAAATGGAAGATGTTAAGTGTTTTGAGGTTATTGTTTTGTTTTTCTAAACCATAGATGTAATGCTTAAATAATAACTCACTATGACATAGTAAGAATAATACAGTAAGAAAGATTCAATATTAGGAAATGTTAGTCCTTAAAATAGTTTATTAGTCTTCCCATGATCTGTACCTAGGAAACTGTACCACAGAAGATAATTTTAAACATATTAGAAGGTTCAATATACGGAAATCAATAAATGTTATTCACCACATCAATAGACTTAAA